CTGGAACCTTGTGAAATACATCAATGATATAAGAAGCGTTGGGCATGCGATTTTCTGCACCTCCGCACTCCAGAGAATTCACTGAAAATACTGCGCCTCTACTGAGTACAGCCTTCCAGTGAGCCACAATGCACGACTCAGCATCAGTAAGTGGAAGTAGTTCCCCTGCGTTCCGACTGGTGGTTGTCCTCTTCCATCTGGTAGCGGCAGCTTCGAGCTCGGGGTGGCGCGCGTACTGCGAGTCTAAGTCGTACATGTATACCGCAGCCTTCACCATGGACCACGTGGCAGTTCGAGCTCGCGCATCGGGGTACACGTGATTCAGCAGGAGACGAATGGATTTCCGATGGTCTTTGGCGAGCCAGCGATTCTTCACGAAGTCAGCAAAATGGATGCGGCCACAAAGCTGGATCCACTCCGGGGCCCGCAAGTTGGCACAGACACTGCTAGGTAGGATCCTCTTCATGTGCCCGACATTCAAATCGTGGTTGCCGATCTGCGCGCGCATCCCCTCTAGGCGCTGCTCCACGACTTCGTTGAGGGCCAGGCCGAGCAAGTGGCGCATCAAGGCGGTGAACGCATGCAAAGGCCTGTGCGAGTTTAGCCAATGTTCAGCCTGCCCCCTACACTCGGAGCCAGCCTCAAACAGCGGCTGCACTGAGCGATGACATTGCGCCGTATTGTCCAAGCCATCGTACCAATCAATGGCGCGTCTCATCTCATTCTTGCTGTCAGCCTCCAGCCCGCCCCAGTAGTGGCCTAAGACTTTCAGGGTCCTGTAAGGATAGTTATTGTAGAAGCTACCCTTGGCCATCAACTCTTCCTGGAGGGCGGCGTCGAACATCTGCTGAACGTTCAATGCCCTGGCGCGGTCTGACGGCTCCATTCGGGCGATGAAGGTGGAGTAGTCTGCATCTTGAGCGTTCTGAATTTCCAGTACATGTTGGTCCCACGCTCCCATTGCCAGCTCCACTGACCGTCTACCAGCCCACACGCAGTCTGCAGCCTTGTGGTCAGCTCTGTGCCGATCCCTGCCATGCGCCATTAGTAGGTGTTCATGACACTTGCACCCCTTCAACCAACGCCCGAATTTCCCACAAGCATTGCCCTTCAAGAGAAGAATATTGATAAACCAAGGCAAATCTTTGCAGCGTAGGGCTTTGGTCACTCCGTCGATCATCGCGCCAGTATCAAGGTCGTCGTCCCTTCCAGGCCTCCCATCGCCTCCCATTGCAGATGGGTCCCAGTGAGCCGCGAGGGCCTGAAACCTGACGGCGACTTGAGACAGGAAGATCTCCAGCTTCTCCCAACGCCATGTGAAAGTACCACCAGTGAACGTCAGGAACAAAGGCGCTACCTGGCGATGTCCTGCGAGACACCGCTTGATGAACCGGGAACGAAGGCCGCGAGAAGCAAGGAATCGTGCCAGAGCCCTGAAGTGCGATTCGATGGTTGCCCAACCTTCCATCTTGCAGACAGCATTCTTCAAGCCATTGAACAGCATGTGTAAGTGTCCTGGGAAGCCGAGCGCAAATGGAAACAAAAATCTAGCATTGACGTCGGGATGCGCCAACTGCAGCTCACCACTCTCGACCTTCGCCATGACGTCACGTAGCGGGCCGAGCTCCAAAAAGTGAGGGACATCCTCGAGAGATTTTTCTGTGCCTTGATCACGCACGCAGCCTCTCACTGCATTTCTGTAGGTGTCAATGCCGTCGCCTGCTTCGAGAAGTATGCAGTGAGCAAGTCGAAACATCTTTGCCTCTACAGATGTTTCGCCCCAACCCATTGCGGTCAAAGGTTTAGCGCGAACTTCAAACGTTATCTTGCTCAGCGGGTCGGGGTCGTCAGCTGAAAAACAAGGCATGCTGACCAGGACCTCTCTCGTCATCAGAAGGTCGTGGCCGATCTGGGGTGACGAGTCGTACGCAAGGAAGACAAAGCAGTTGTCCCGCTTGCCACTCTGCCACAATGACTGCCAATACATCATCATCATGAGGTCCATCTTGACCTGCCACCTCTGAATTGTTACCCTCGAAGGCATCCTCGGCGGTACGAGCGTAGTCACCGACGAACCGTCGACCTTCCAAAGCTTGGAAGACAGCATCATCGCTTCCGACAGATCCTCTGGCCGCTTGAGTAGATGCACCAGGGGCAACGCATTCATGATGAAATCGATCGTGTAGAAATTTTCGTCCTCGAGCTCCCCGCCGTCTTCGTCGTCGCCAATGGCCTGATCGCCTTCGGCAAACGCAGCAGCCGCTGGTGCTGGCTGTGGAGGACCTGGCAACTCAATCAAATGATGATCCAGACGGCACTCCTGCGCAGCTCTCGCACACGTCAAAATGCATGCCCGACTTTCGAATAAAACACGTTCTAAGTGAAGCCTGGGAATTACGAGAAGGATCGCGGGGTATTGCTCGTCTGTGCATTGGGATACTTTCTCGCGGCCCTCATCATTCAAAGAGAAACTGAAACCACAGCCAGAACCTTGCTTTTC